AACTGGCAGAACATTATTTGGCCGAGCAGAGATGAAATAAGTCCTCTGACACATGTGGCTGCCCACAGCTGTATGTCAAACAACAGAGGGTGAAATGCACCTAGCTTAAGTCCTGCTCTGGGTAGCCAAAATGAGGGCAGATGTCTTAAGAGGATGAAGGCTAGATCCCCACGTAGATCCATTAAGCTTGCCAAGTAAACTGCCGTGGGTCTTCATCTTGGCAGTCAATTCTATTAGATGGTTGTACTGGAGACCTATCAAGAACAGTGCCAGAACATACCAGATGTGCAGTGTGCTGCAGAGGGTATCCTCTGTAGAAAGCACACAAGTCCCAAATGATAGAGGTACTTTGGAAGTGAGAAAAGCACTTAGATGATTTTGAAGCATTCAGCTGCCATCACCTATTTATTACAGCCACAGCTGAATATAGATGCCTTATCAAAACATCTTCCTCAAGGTCAGAAGAGCTCTTATATTCTCATACTCAGGCAGTGTCATCACTGAAGATTAACCTTTCAAAACAAGTTTTGTTGATGTATAAGTTGAATGGGACAAACAATACTACTGAGTCTTGAGCTTACACGGTCTCTAACAGAAACATACAGTCGAAGTCTAGCTACGCAAAAAAACCCAAACTACATTAATTTCCTACATTAGTGTAGGAAAATAGAATTTATGAAGAATTTTGGACAGTTTCATAACAAACTAACATGCTGTACCAAATTTTCAATAGACATCCCATGAAGCATTCTAATAGCAGTTTTTTAACTTTATCCAGTGGCTGTTTTCTGCATGAGTTCTCAGAAGTGCTGTGAACACAACAAAGAAGATTTTGTTCCAGTTGTGGTGCTGCACATAGCTGGTAAGATCCCCCTGAGGATCTGATAGGGCAACACATGTTATAGTACATCCTGAACTATGGATACACCATAGAAATTGAGTGCATGATTCAAACAGAATTTATGGTGCTGATGGAAGCTGGATGGGATAAAAATGTGCAGCTTTAGAAAAGGCACCTGAAGTATCAGCAGAACCACCTGGTCTCTCCTACAGATAGTTTGCATTCTTCTGTAATAAAAATGTTTTATTGGGTCTAGTTGACATTATACTTCCATTATTGTTTTGCAGTCTTCATAAATGTCATGGACAAATTTTATATCAGGATTTGAATTTTGTGATAATACTTAAAAATCAAGATTAGCTCTGATCTTTACAAAACTCTAAATACACCTATATTTTAAGATTTACTTTTCAGATTAACTGCATGGGCGATTTTTAATCCACTTAACATATTATTTACCTTGCATAGCCTACATTTTTTGTCCGAATATCTCAATAGTAGATCAGATATCTTAAAAAACAGTATATTAAAATGAATAGTAACCTTTATCAACTGACTTTTACCACCTTCCAGAAAACAAATCAGATTCAATGACACTTAGTTTCCATAAAACCCTTCTAAGAAGTATAACTATAATCTTGTTTTATTATTTTAATAATTGAATTTCATATCAGATTTTCAGTATTTTACCCAGAAATTAGGGTAGACTAATGAACCTAAAATATTGCCCTTTCTGAATATTATCCTTCTTTTATGCTCAAGGCAGTATTGTAACATATACACTCTAACCTTGAATACTTATTCAAAATGAGGACCAGCAAGAGAAGAATTTCTTAACCAGCACAATAAACTTGTAAGCTATGAAAATTCTCAATTTAAAAATACTATTTTTTTTATAAAATGTTTAAAATCTTCCCTTGGTTACTACAAGACTGGGGATATTGTAATGTCTTCATATAACATTAGCCTACTTCATTCCAGAAACAATAAAGAAATATTCATGGAAGACCTCTATCTTTACACAGTTGTAGATTTTTTTAATCTAATATAGATTGTATCTACCCTGTAATATCTAACTTATTAATAGTACATTTTTAAATACTGCCCGTTTATTATTGTTCTTGGCCTTGCTGCCCACAGATATCCTCTTGATTTCTTTAGTCTCTTCTGCATCCTTTATAGTCTATTATCGCTCATATTTTCAGGTTATTATCTATAATTCATTTCCAATTCCTTCATATTGCCTTTTTATTTCTAAATATTTTGTATCTTTCCTATTAAGCTGAAATAGATATTTATAAGGAGCTACTCTCTAATTATGGAATTGTGGTTTTTTGGTTACTTAATAAACTGTTACAGTCCACAATTTCTATTCATATTTCCCGCTAGCCTGTATCTTCCTCATAACAGCTTTGGAGAAATGAACTGCTCTGAATCAACCTATTTTAGGTGCCCTTTTAGTTCCCACTGGAAGCAATTCAGGACACCTGATCCCTATATCATGGTCACACAAAATAAGTCCAATAATTACTTACAACATACTGGATACAGCAACTTTTGTTTGCAATTATTTCTTCCATGATTTTTAGAAACTATTAAATAGATGCTACAATTTAGCTATTTTATTTCATTGCATAAGTGTCCCAAATTGGGGTGTCCACAGTAATGCAACATTTTATTGTATATTGCAAATATGGGCTCAACTAGTAACTCATCATAATGTGATTCAGTTATGTATACTGTACTTCTACCAGAAACCACTCCACCAGGTTTTGTTACTTAGTATCTTGACCCAAATGGTTCAAGACCGTGGGGTTTTGCGTTATCAATAACTCTAAAAGCCAGTAACACTGTCCGGTATAATTAGAAAGAGTCACACTCTCTTCTCTGAAGTTCCTCTGTTGTCTTACTAATAGCTGTGACTATTAATTAGTAACTGAAATAATGGAATTGCTTTATGTTAAAAAAAGAACATGGAATAGGTAGAAAAAGCAATTGCATTCAATTTATGAATGAGAATATTACAATTGCACTCGGAAAACAAGTAAGGTTTAAGAAGAGATCAGAATAGAAGACAAAGATAAGAGGGTCATACAAATATGTTAACCTGTTTAAGTGAGATACAGGTTAAACTTGATCTCTACACAGAAAAAAATTACTTGAGTTACTGAAACTGGAGAACCAAGACCACAGGAAAACTGACAGCTACCTGGAAGGAGAGAGTAGAAATGAGACAGACCAGACTTCAAAGAAAGAGCAGGTGCAAGAAGGAGTACTACTACTTATCACGGTAAGTATTACCACAACACCTTGATCTTCCAACTCAGGTTATAACATCAGATACACAAGAGGTATTTTAACAGGATTTGGTTGATATACTGCACAGTTCCAATCGCCAAGGATTTTCAATTATATTTTTTTACAGTGGTATACCATGAATAGAATCTGATTTTAGCACCTAACTAAACAAATTACTCTATTTAAGAACTCTCTATTCATCAATATTTGACTTAATGACAGCATAAAAATTTTCAAAAAATCTTTCTGCAGAGGAACAGTACTCAGCAAAAATGTTATTTGAAATATGCATGCATATTCTTTTTATCCTGGCAAGAAAGTAGGTATTTAGCTTTATTAGCTAAATATTATTATTTAGAGAGAAATTACTTTTCACACGCAGTACAACTGTGTTAGTGATAATGAATATTCATGACAACTAACACTGAAGCTGTCATCTTATTCAACAATGAATGAAGTTATAATACTTGCTAATGGGTGAGTTTCCTCGTTACAGTTACTTTTGAGAACAGAATATCTTTTACTTTCCCATTTTTTTGTTTTTTACAAACCTGGGGAAATGAGCAAATGCTAAAGGGCTGAGAACCTCCATGTAGAGTGACTTCTTATCAGATGATGACAGAAAAAAGACATAATACACAAGTGTTTAAGTTACTAAATTTTAACCCACAGTTGAAAGTTATTCTTGAAGAAATAACTATATATGCCTTCTTTTTATATGTAGTGCAATAAAATACCATTGCTCTTTACTTTGGATGCTACCAAACTTGCCCAAACATATCTGAAAGGAGCTCAACTCTACAGAAATCCAAGAACAGTAGAAAACTGGATCTGTTTTATGGGTTAATAAGCTATAGCCTTGTTTGAAAGTAAGGTATATTGTAGATATGTGCTAAATTAATAAAATTACAGAATCTTCTGAATTGGTAGAGATCAACAATGATCATCGAGTCCAACTTCTGGCCCTGCACAGGATCATCCCCAAGAATCAAACTATGTGCCTCAGAATGTTGTCCAAACACCTCTTGAACTCTGTCAGGCTTGGTGCTGTGACCACTTTCCTGGGGAGCCTGTTCCAGTGCCCAACCACCCTCTGGATGAAAAACCTTTCCCTTATATCTAACCTAAACCTCACCTGACACAACTTCAGGCCATTCCCTCAAATCCTATGTATTCAAGATAGGTACATACTGAATAGGCTTTATATTTCTTAATTATGTGGTGAATATAGCAGAAAAATAAATAATATTTATATTTCAAATATTAAATAATAAAACATAGATTAGTCTGTTCAGTGAAACTTTGCACTGATTTAGTAGGATGAAATGATCTGTCTGACACCTCCAAGACAGCATTGTTGCATGATGCACTATAGCAGTTTTTTAAGAATTTAGCCAAAATACGGAAATAATATTCTATATACTTTTCCTAAAATTGCTTTCAATTTTGCAATATAGAGCCTTCCTCATTCAATATTTCTAAAATAAAAAGCATGTGCATACGGAAAATTAGGTACTTCACAGTAACCAGCATATATGAATTATTATGTCAAATGTGTTGAGAATTTTTTTTCTGCAGAGTAGGCTGATATAAAACTAAGCCCTTTTTCTTGGTAACAAGTATATGGCAGCCATATATAGATAAAAATTACTGAAGTCTTTCTAAGTCTGGGACATAGACCCCGATTCTTTCTCCTTATTTAGACTAATTCAGACCCGACACCAGATCACTGCAGGGACTACCACTACATCCAGAAAAGGGAATGCACCAAAGATCAGTCCTTGCTTGATCTGTTACGTTTTTCTTTCAATCAAAATTACCTTTATTTAGTTGAGCACTCAAAGAAAATGAAAATTCAAACCTTTACAAATGTCTTGAACTCTTCTACTTTCTCACTGGTGAGCAGCAACTTCTTCTGTAATGTTTCCAAAGCCTCTGCACTCTGTTTAGCCAAGCTCTGTAGCTGATCAGATGTAGCAGTCTCAAGTTCAGTCATAGCACATTCAGTCTCAATCATTTTGCTTTCTAGTTTGGTAAGCTTGAGATCCTGAAATACATCCACAGAGACACAATAATGCTACGATAAAAGCTGATAAGGAAGTTCACAAATGTATGAAGAAACCTTCCACACCATACTTGACATCACAGAATATTTCACTTGCAACACATAAAGTGTAATTTCATGGCAAAACGTAATCACATTTTCAGTCATCATGTCCATGTTTCAGTATCTAAATTTCAGAGATGTGACTGAATGAGGCGAGAGAAAAAGGTTACTATTATTCTGCTCTTTTCTCCCTTTCTGTATTTAAAAAGTCTAAGCTGATGACCTTGCAACTTTTCTTTTGAAAGTAAGGTATGGAATAGTTTCACAGTACAGCCATCACAACTCTAATTATACCTTTTTCTCCAACTCATCTTTAGCCTTGTGATACATCTGCTCATACTGAGACTTCTCTTTCGTAGCTACATTAAGTCTTTGTTTCAGTGAGTCAATGGAAGTTTTTTTGCTTGAACAGTCTTCAGCCAGTGCCTTTACCTGAAATAATGAAAGACCAAGGGCATTGACTCTCAACATGTATAACTTAAAAATTAAATAAAATCAAAACTAAGCCTACCTATATTACATTAACATACTTTTGCTATATAGTTTTATTGAAATATTGTTTTCAGAAATTACAGTATTTAATAAATCTCTACTGCTGCTCCAGTAGAGACCTTTTACCATGAGTTTTGACTTGTATTAAATATAAAGAAGAGCTCTTCATCTGCAGAGCTGTTTGTTTATGTATATTTTAGAGTTACAGTACTTGCAAAAGGGAGCCACCCACAACTGCTACTCATATCTTCTGTTAGAGGTAAAAGCATAAATTCAAATTCAGCCAAGAAAACAACTGTCTACATGTGATTAGTCTGTAAAGCTTCCTAGATAATTATTATTTAATCTAAACACTGATTTGACCAGTGCTCCTGATAGTGTTAATAGACCACTCAGCATTCCTGATAGTATTAATAACAAAGTTTTCCTGACAATATCAGTAGCAGGGAATTTCTCTGATCTTTTGCTGAAGATAATGTAAAATTTATCAAGCTGATTTTCCACACGGAATAATCAAAATAACAGATGGGATTGGACTTTCTGGAAATGCAGTGCTTAAAATACTCAAAGAAAATCATTAAAACACACCATTCCCTTCCAAATCTTTTATCTAAAACCAAAACCAGGTATTTCTCTCATGTCATACTTTAGCTCCCTTGCTTACTTATGCTCTCACTTTTCTGGCTGTGGATTTCCTAATAACACCTTATCTTCGGCATGTAGGGTAAGACAGTAGCTCTCTTTAGAACTGCAAGTGCTATATGACTGCAAGCAGAGATACTGTTTGTGATATTCAGCAAGCATAAACAGAAGCAATTTGGTAAATTGTTTATTTCTATTCTGGGGTTGCAAGATGCATAACCTCACAAAAAAACAAACATCATAATCTTTTTCTGACATTAAAGACCAAAGTGCAATACATCAGCTGCATAAATAGAAATATGCCAAACCATACACAAGTTCTCCTCAGTGAAATCATCCTAAAATTGTGCAGGATAAAATCATTTGCTATAGAAATCAAGCATTACCTACGTAGATTACAATTGCATTAAGCTAAGAACTGTGAATCATTCATAACACTGCAGTAGAAAACAGATTAACATATTAAAGCATTTAACTACTATAGCCAGGAGAGATGCATGGTCTTCATTAGCATATGTCATGTAAAATCGCCCTTGTTTCAGGTCTCCTATATTTTATGAACTTACAGTGCATAAAACTAAATCCCACTACTTACAGCATATCCTTGCAACTGTGTGTTCTGAATACTTTAATATTTAATTACACCTCTAATGAAGATACATTAAATTATGCTGAATTCATTCAAGCTATCACCATATACTGATTTCATACAAATTATAGTGGAGGGAATTACACACTTAAATTAACTTTATCTTGTTTGCTTAAAGCAATATATCGATTTAATATGTATAGTGTGTTGAAATAACTTCTGTAAATCCACCAGCTTCTGTTTTTCCTAAAACTAGGAATAGCAAGAAAGAAGTACCTTCCTCTCAAGACCTCCCAGTGTTTCACTTGAGGTTTTCTCATTTTCTTGACTTGCTTTCAGATGAGACTTTAAGTCTTCTATCAAATGTCTTTTCACAGTAACGTCCCTCTCCAACTGAGAAATTCTACAAGGGAAGAAGTCAGACTGCATGACACTCAGAAAATTTTCTTAAGATGCAACTAAAAAGCATAAATGCAGTAGACAAACTATTATTCCTGTAGCTTTAAAATACTCTTTCAAACAATAGCTGATGCAATTCTTGCAATTTACCCCATTCTCAACTACTAAACCCAGTTTCAAACTCTTATTAACCAGACCTATTTCTAAATATGCAATATATTTGTAATTTGCTTTTTGCTTGCTGAACTGAAATCACAGTAATTCTTAAACTATGACCAAAAAAGGCAAAAGAAACCTGCTGAGCACGCAAAATTTAGTAATTAAATTCCTTTGATGTCCCAAGCAATCATTCAAACACTATTTTGTATAAAATTATTTTCAGAAGAAAGTGAAATGGGGAACTCTCCTTTCATCCAACTAATACATAGAAATAGATGAAAAATCTCTATCCCTATATGTCAGATGAGATAAACTGCAAAACCTAGAAATAACATCAGCATTTGTCAAAAAATTCTCAGACAAATAAAAAAGAAACTCTCATGTAGTACAAGCTAGTCTATTCAGTGAGAAAATTATGTCTTATACAGTACTTCCACTATCATGATACAAATTAATATTTTAAATATAAATATAAGCAATATCTGAACATGTTTAGACATCTGGATTTTTTTCTAATGAAAGCAAAATGAATGATGGCAATAGGTTCAGGAATACAACATAGTTAATACAATGTCAATACTATATTAAAAAAAAACAAAACAGGAAAACAGTGCATCTAAAATTTTCTTCAATCTGTTTCACCCTAATAATAATAATAATAATAATAATGTTATTTTGGTGATTACATACTACAACTTATGAAAAAACAGTATCTATTTTTTAAAGAAACCATGACATCCAATAAGTATTTTAAATTTAAAATCTCATGGTGGAAAAATTCAGTTTCATTTTGAAACAGAAAATAAACCATGCACACAACATAACCATTTTAAGTGCTATCTATTTTGACATGAACTAATTTCAGACAAGTAAATTGCATTCTTTCTACAATTAAAAAAAAAAAAAATTAGAGGAGTTAAATTCTGGGACAGACAAGAAATTCACAGATACATAAATAGCTTTTTTATACTTTTGATAGTAATATAATTGAATAACATATTTATATCAGTTAAGGTAGGTAGAATAAAAATCTCACACACTTGACAATTTGTGAATTTAAAAATGAGTAGTAAACCTTAATCAATTCACATAGAAACAAATACAACTGTCTTTTTGAACTTTTTTAATGAATATAAGAGTAGCTATTTAATCTTATTTAAGCATCTGAACCTTGACATGTCTCTTAGCCCCTAGGCAAAGAATTACTGAATTTGAAAGACTGTGTTTAACAGTGCTGAGGAATTCATTTTGACTTACATCAAGGATAAAAAGTCTACTCTAGAGTGTGGGTTTTGATTTAAGGTATTCTTACTGCAATACAGATACTGTAGTTAGTTAGTCATTTGTCAGTTTACCAATTTAGCATCTACTGTTGCAGTTTCTAAAAAAATCCCTGTACCAGTCTGCAAGATCGCAATAAGAAGAATATGACATTCTCTTAAAAATCTAAGAATGCTAAACATTGTAGCAATTCTACAGCTGTCACTGGGTGGCACCAAACACAATGGATAGAAGAGTGACCGTACTTCGCTTGTAGTTCCCGAATCCATTCTTCTTTTTCCTGGACTTCGTTTTTTAGTGACTTAATGGTGGTCGATTGCTTAGTGATTTCATTATTCGAATTCTATATTGAAAAATATTAAAATATAAACAAAGCAGACTGAATATGATCGCAGTCAACAGGAAATTTTGAAATAATGAGCCAAGTAAACTTCCATGTATTTTATGAAAGTTCTTAGAAATTAACTGGTGCAAAAGGAGCATTCTTACTTTCTAGAAACACTTAAGTAGAAGCACATTCCTTGGAAAATATGATAAAAATCAGTAATTTTCCATTGTTCTAATAATGTATGATTAATGGATGTTCCCCAGGGCACCTGCAAGCCCAGTGTACCTATCAGGACCATGTTTTCTCTTTCATGACATGGTCAGATGAAAAGGTAACAGAAAAGTAAAACTGGATCTTTATTTGAACTACATCTTTGAATGGCATAGTTCTACAGCACAAGAAGCCTACATCTATATAGAAAGAATGTCCAATAATTCCTTTCTTGCGCTTTTAGAAATACAAGACAATATGCAAGAGTGGTTGTTTTTATGTCTCTTCAAATTCAAAGCACAAGACAGAGACACGCACAAATTCTACATTTCAGTAACATGCAGGTATGACCCTAACATTCAGGCATATGTAATTCCAGTGAAGGGAAATGATACAGTTGTTGGCCGTTCCTCATTGCATACAGTAATGAGAAAAAAAGGGCCTCAATTGCTCCATGCAAACACACATATCATCTACTCAAGATTTAAATTCAGAATAAATGAATCAGTCTACAGAAATAAAAATATGAAATTTAACTAAGTAGCCATCTTAGCAATCTGAGCATTAGCTTGAATGCCGTTGCTGAAAATGGCATATCACAGAGAGATTTCAGAACTCCAAAAGGTGTTGCCAAAAGATACGTACACATTAAGCATAAGCACAACGTATATGTGTACAGGTTCAGACGCTGTACAACAGCTTTTTATTCAATATGTATAAATAATAAGCAAAAAGATCAGACATGCTGTAAACAAAGATACTTCAGGAGAATTTCTCTGCTCAGTGCAGACTTGTAACGCCTATTAACATTAATGGGAGTATTGTACATAACTCTGTGACTCTCAGGGGGAGTATATATTCTTGTGTGCATTGTTAGATGTAAAATATTGTTCTTAATAACTTGTCTAGTCTATTTAGTATTATTATAATGTGAGGTATAACCAGATAATTGTTAAAATGATGTATGCTAGCAGAATATTCCCGAGTTTCCTGAGACCTGTTTGTGGAGGTTGAGCTCCATTAATGTAAAGCACAGCACCCTGTTACACAGTTACACACAAGATGTGAACCTGAATACTTAGGTGGGCCTCTGCACATGCTCAAAGGCAGAGAAATATGATTGCGCTATTTCACTTTCAAACTCACCATCCACACTTACAACATTTCTTTCTATTGGCAAAGACACCAGGAGCCATTACATACAACATAAACAAACACTGCGAAGACAGCTCTGAGGAAAAAAATTTAAACAACAAAACCAAGTAATTCAAAATTCTGACCTATAAGGAAAGCTTTTGCTGCTTACACATTCAGATATTTAGGAGAATAACTTTGTATCTCCTTTTTAAGGAAGACAGTTAGTCTAGAACAATAGTTTTGTTCCAGGTAAACAACTTTTCCCAAATTCTTCTCTAAAAAATGACTTGCAGAACTTAAATCAAGTTTCTAAAATTCCTAACTTTATTTATGGCCAATTTAAGTAGCTCTTGAGGTCCTTACTATCAAAACTCTCATACAATTCAGAAAACAGTGAATTTATTCTATTACTCTGTATATGGAGTTACAGAATATTTTCACCATAAATACTATTTTGCATACATGGTGTATTTTTTCATCCAAAATCATAGAATCACAGAATAGTCTGAGTTGGAAAGGACCCACAGGGGTCACCAAGTCCAACTCTTAAGCGAATGGCCTGTATAAATGTAATATATTTTTAAAAAGGAATTATTAGTATTTTGACATCAGATTTATTGATGCTTGCTAAATGTTTCCTTTGGTATAGAAACGAAAAAACTTATATTTTATATTTTTCAGCTATTTATTTTGCTGTTGAAATGTAGCAGACAAATAAATAAGCTTCTAGCATGGGTGTTACTCTCAGGCTGTTTAAAAAAAAAATCCCCTTTTGTAAAAATTTTTCTTACTTGCATAGGGCAATTGACTATTAGGTTTCTTGATAATGAAGATACTCATCTAAAAGGTACAACCCTAATTAACAGAAATTACCACTCACCAGCAACAGAGACAGATTAGTCCATCCTAAATCTGAAAACAACACTCAAGAAGTCAGTGTGTATGGTTTCAAGACCTCTTTCTCATAATTAAAGTAGGTCAATTTATGTGCCTTTTCATGGCTACTCCCTGCTGGCCTCATCTCTTTATCAATGTGACCTACCTTTACTAATCTCTGAATTTAGATGTTATGCATCCAGTGTGCTATAGCCAAGATCTGTAATACCATGATGGCCATCAAGGGCTAAGGGATCTGAGCATTACCCACATTTGTGCATTAGCACAGCTAATCCAGTATTTAGGGCCAGCGATGTTGCCCATGTAACATGGCCTTTTCTTCTACCTGATCCCTTGGCAGATGTCTTGCTACTCTGCCCTTTCTTCTAGCAGCAAGAAACTGTACCATTTTGACCTTTTCTCTTTCCTCTACTATTTAACTGAAAATGATAGGAAAAAACAACTTTAGGACATCCTGTTGCACATATATTTCCTCCAGTGAGAAGAGAAAAATAATGAATATGTTTGATCTGGGCCACCTGCTGAGAAAGCTTTCAGAAAAACACAGTCCAGTATTTACACCATTCACAAGAAACAGAATCACTGGAGACTAAAAAATGACATCATGAATAAATTAGTATTTTCCTACCAGCTAATCTACAAAAATACAAATTTAAAACAGTAAGTGTTTCTTTGAAGACAAAACCAACAGTGACATACCAGTAGCATAACACTGTAACAGAAGCTGCCCCATTAGCTCAAATTCTTTGCTCCCCTTTCACAGATAGCTTTTGCTTTTCTCTTTGTTAAAGGAAGAAAGGAATCAACACAATATTCACTGAACTAATTTCACAGCACATTACAACCAGATGTATTTAATCATTGTGTGAAAATGTAGCAAGATGCCCTGTCTTGCCTATTTGATCTGCAAAAATTATTTAAATTGTAACTTTCAGTTCTCCTGCTTATGAGTACATTTCTACTTACCATCAAAGGCAATCTAACACCTAAGTTGCTAATCACTGGCTAAGATATAAATGATAGGCTCATGTGGGTATACGTATGTCTGCTTGACCCAGTTATGAACTACTGTTCATACAAATTATCCTCAGTGCTAGATAATATGTTCTGTCACCTTTAGTTTGCACTGCAGCTGTTTCATCTCTAAATCAATGTTCTTTGAAGGAGCTGGTGTGGCTTTACTCTTGCCAACAGTTCGAGACAGGTGTTCTCTCAACTTTAATTTTCCTTGTAAATCTTCCTTCTCCTGTTGCCACTTGGCCAGGTTGGAGGTCAACATCTGTTTTACAAACATAAAAAACAATCACAGTTTCATCCTAATAATATTTCTGCTTGATCATATGAGATGCTTCTCCAGTTCAAAATTCAAGAGGAATGAAACAGTATATATTATCTGTAATTACATTGCATAGTTGTTGGTTGAATTCTCTAGTACAGGCAAAGATCAAATCCAGCGGGAAAAAGAAGTCAATGAACATTAAAAACAAGTAATTTTTTTAAAGGCAAAAATCATCATAAAAAAACCTGTAACAGTGGTTACTGTTGAAACCTGTTTAACTAGAGCCTCTCTAGGATTCATCAATTATTTCTACACAGAACATAAAGAAATACCAAGTTGCCTCAGACACCAATGCATATTAAAGGTGGTTAAATGTCAAATCTGTTTTAATGGTGACCACCGTAAGCTCACCTGAATTGCTGTGTTGACAATTGCTATAAAACATACACCCTTCTCTTGGCTTTTGTTTTGATATTTGTAGGGCTTGTAGAGGTTAAAGCAAAGTGGACCAGCTGCACTAAATATCTTCTGGTTGGCTGGTCTTTACTTGTGTGTTATTTCATCCCTCTCACATATATACACCATAGCCAGAGAACCACATATTCCATAACCTTGACTCTAGTGCTGAAGTACTTAAGTGCTAAAAGACAAGTTGGAGCAGGACAGGATAACAGATGTTAGTTGTTTATTCCACTGGGTAGGTCTTACCACCCTATACTGCAGCCAAAATGCTTCTCATTTAGCAACATAAATGCTAAGTCCAATTAGCAGACAAGCCTTGTTAGGGATTTAGTTCAAATAAATATCATGAAAACAAACTCTCAGTCTTGTTGCACTTGACTGACAACCAACAAGACTTAATCAATCTTTGTACCAATATATTTCACGAAACTCCTTATAGAGCTAATGTTTTAAGTAATTGTTTAATTTAAATAATGTTGAATGTTGTTCTGCAAAAAGGGATCAGAAATAATCTCCATGCTAGTGGTTAGCTTTCACAAAACTGTAGTCAGCTGGAAGCCAACAATGGCCCAACAATTCTCTAAAAATTAGATTTTATACTGTTTAATGGTATTAGAAAAGAACTTTTCATATACATGTATTTATATATGCATACTCTCCCTGATAATGCTGATAATCTGAAGATCACATATATCCAAATAAAAGAAAAACTACTTATAGTCATATTTATTCCTACTAAGAACGACAAGAGAATGCTTGTTAATTCTGCATTACCTTAAAAAAATACCATAGGTATGAGAAACTGCATCCTGTATTTAAAGTTAAAACTCTTAACAGTATTTCTTTCGCATTCATTAAGCAAATTTATTAAAATCAATGGGCATTATACATGTGTATCTGAGTTAAGCACTGTTCTTAGGAAAGGGGCCATTCCGTTCTGTGTCTGCTGTCATTATTGAAAAAGAAATAAATAGTGTTAATGTATTTTCTAATTGACTATTCCTCAGTATAATATACTATTCCCATAATTCATACATTCTCAGAGAAAAAGACAAAATGAAGGCTACTTCAATAAGCAAAAGCAGTAGTAGTACAGAAAGATGTAGTATAGAAAATATAAGGATTATGTTAATTTGTCAAGTATAACCAATATTTCTACATGCAGAATTTCATGATTCAGTGTCTCTATAATAAATTATTCATAAAAAGAAAAGCAAGAAGAAAAAAATCATAGCTACATTAATATCTCTGTTTAAAACCAGAAATGCCCCCATATCTGCTCAAGAGAGCTTGTGACTCTCAGAAGTTTCTTTAGCTACTGCTGCTGCCAATATGCATCAGTTCTAAAATGTCCTGATTGCACTGGCCACATTCTCAAAAATTATAGCAGATACATAGAAAAACTAAAAGGCCTTCATGGGACAGGCGCTAAAGAGGACAGTCGTAGAATTTACTTATGGAGGTAGAAAAAAAGAATTTAAAATAAGAATCTACATAAATTCAGAAACAGTATCAGAACGACAAGGGTGAAGTGAAAGTAACATATGCAGAGGCAAAAACCTCCACCTTGCAAAAGCAGACAGACATGCAATTGCAATCAGAGGTATCAAGAAGGTTGTCTCTTAATACTTCTGTTGACAATGTAAATGTGCTACAGTACTGATAATTCTCCTCCCTTACTCTTCTATTCACAATATATTGAATGGCTGTGTGAAAATCCTTTATCAATCTATGTGTGATGCGAAAAACAACCCCCATGCCCTAGCAAAATATTTATGACTAAAAGATATTCTTTGCATTTACTTATTTAAGAAGCAAGTTCATTACCCTGCTGTTACTCACCACTTGCTACATTTTAGGTCAAGCCTTTTGTTATTTTTTCTTTTTTAGACACAGTGGAAGTTTTGTGTGTGTGCTACCATGCATGCAAATCCTGAGTGACAGAGTAAAAAGAATTTACTCCAGGGGAAGAGGTCACCAGGATGAAAGGCAGAATCTTAAACACCAGCTAGACCAGATGTTGATAAAGGCAGGCTACTGCTGTTCCTCTGCAATGTAGAGGCCTTTGTCTGCTGCACCTCCTCCAGAGTGTTTTGGCTTAACAGATGTTTATAGGTTCAATATTTTAACATCCATCTATCTTAATCTCCTTGCTCCTGGTATACCCATGACACTCTGTTCTGTTGTTCACAAAGGAGTAAGTGATGAAATCACGGTTTTTAGGTAGTCAGTGTAAAGCTTCCATTGACTCAGCAAGGCTTTTTACCATAAATGCTCTCTCAGAAAGATAGCTATGTGGAAGGCCAAATAGATTAACACACGAAGTTCCTGGAATGGCCTATTGCTCCTTGGCATCACAACCACCCTGTAAGGGACTTTGAGCTCAGTTTACAGCAGTCACCCTCCTACTGCAACTGGCATGTATGAAAATAACATTTCTTCTGGTAGTGGCTGATACTCTTGTAACACAAATCCATACATTTATATTTGCAAAATACATTATATAGAAAATATTTCTGGGCAAAATTATAAAACAGGATGTAAATCAGGTATTCTTGAAACCCTTTTTAAGCAATGACATAACCTTATTTTACTACTGATTTTGTAATTCAAATATAGCTAATATACTCAGATGTGTAAAAACCCTATTTGCTATGAAGCTTACTATCCTAAAATCCTGGCAGATGAAAACATTGCAACAACTGTAAGAAAACTGAGGTTAACATACTTCTTTTCTCTAAGAACTCCTGCTACAGTAGATAATAAAATACATCCGCTATATGCATAGATCCTATACCAGGTTCTATATTAAAATTTCACACTCTTTCTATGAAAGTTTTAAAGAGAACTCTGTTTTTTTCACAGTTTTAGCTTAATCATGAAAAATATCATGTGTACACATAATATACTTGTTGTACACATAAAACATGTAAGAACTTTTCAAATCAAACTTGGAGGCACAGAGCTAGGTACTTATGATTTTACCCACTCCATTAAATGGTATTATAACATAATGATAAACATATTTACAATATCCAAGACAAATTTATTGTGTCAACCCCATTAGGCTGGCCTTTTTTTTGTTCTCTTTAATCAAAACTTTCCTCTGCCTGAAGAAAAAAAAAAAAAAAAAGGTAAAATTAATAAAGATGGTACGTAGCTATCTGAAAATATGAAAAGATATATACCAGACTAAAAAGCTAACTGTGCTGCATACTTAATGTGATCATATAGACAAAAGGCAAATAAGTCCAAATCCTCAATCAAAGTTCTTCTCATGCAAGTGCCGTAAGTGGTTGATTACTTGGTATTCTAGACATGAAGACAAAATATCAAATAGAAGTCTCTGGTGATTTAATATCCTAACCCTAAACTGAAACAAAGAAACCCCCAAGCAAGACAAACTTCTAAAATGTAGAACTTATTTGTCATCTACTCTCCTGAAATTTTAGTAAAATCTACCAAATCACTTAGTTGCAATTTTTTTTCCAGCAAAACACAGTTATCAGCAGCTGACTATTTCACAAAATGTCAAATAAATGAAGGTAATATAGAGGACTTTTTGCCTGTGCTTTAGCTAGTTGTTAGACTTCAGTAGCCTTTAGAGACCATTAAGTACCCTTTGGCTAATTGGCCAATGGTAGATTAATCCTCTTTTTATTCTAGCAGCACTATTTTAACACCCTTTGCACTCTGTCAGTGTACTATCTGAATGACAAAATAATATTGTGCATGAATAATAAGCGGAAAAGTTAAATTAACATTTCATGTTTCACATGCCATACCTATGTGTCAGGGAAAAGAACCCTCTTTTAAAGCCACTGACATTCAACTTTTTTAAACAATCTCTGACATCTTACAGAAGTGAATCTTCCTAATTATTGCTAATAGTCTATCAAAGAAAAAAATAACCTTCTCTTGAAGTGCAGTTGTCTGGTATGGATGAACACAGCTCTAAAGTGCATAGTAAAGACAGGCATGACACTTGAGGTGTGCTACATTATTATGAGGTCATACTAAATATGGTTTGCAATGAACAAAGCAGCTTTTAAGGATGTTTAAGGCACAGAAAATGTCAATCTCTCGTGAAGTGTTTAAATTAGTTCCCGGAAGAGAAATACAGACATCAGCCTGCAGAAAAGAGGTATACTTCTCATCTCAAGTATTTTACTAAAGAAAAACATTTGCCCTATTGATAATGGTAACAGAATTGCATTCCATCTGCTTTATAAAAGCAGTATTTCCATTCCTGTTATCTAAAGAATGGCCCTTTCATAAACACAAATTGTAAATTCAGCTATTACTGGGAAAACAGTTGTAATCACTAACAAAAACTCCTGTCAAAGACTCTATCTTAACCATGTACTAGTACTGATCAATCATTTATAAAGGGTTATTTATTGTATAGCACTTCATAAACAAAGCCTTTACTTGTAATTTTAATTCAGCTATTTTATAGGTAACTTACAGCTAAATTTATTCTACAACATACAAAAACCTAGCATTGCAACATCTGGCAATGGCAAATTACTAAATAA